ATTTTCACAGGTAGAGTGTTGCATACAACCAAAAAGGAAATTTAAATGCTCTTGGGAATTCAGAAAAGTAGTTGTTCTGCATGTAGAGGGCTGAAGGAATGCAGCTGACATTGGCTTGATGAGAATGAAAGAAGAAAGACAGTGTATGCTTTTAAGAGAAAGAAAATATTACTCTCCATGATTACAATCATTAAAATCCACATTCTTAAATACCCCAGTCTCCAGTAAAAAGTATTTCAGTACACCATACATTCCCCTCCTCTGCTTGAATAGTATCAAAAGCATGTCACTGGCTTATTTGTTCTTTTACATGTTAAAGGAGATAAATGGACAAGAGGATATGGACAGTATTACCTAGCTCCTGATTTCCTACCCTGAGGTCCAAGGATGGGTTTCAGGTCATGCCCTCACTAAACTGTATGCAGAACCTATGTGTCAACCTTTTTCTGGGTAGAGTCCTTAGCACATCAAATTCTCAAATGAGTTCAAGAGAATGAATATAAGAGAATGAATGTAGGTTGGATGGTGCAAAGTACTTCCAGGGACCATAAACCTTAGATGGGCCACTGTCAGACTCCACAGGAAGTGTCCATGGGGTCATCACCTCCCGCCGAGTTCAAAACCAGCTTGGGCAACACAGTGAGACCCTATCTCTACAAAAATTAAAAATTAAAAAAATAGCCAAGGCAAGCTAGTGAACCTGAAGGCTGATGCTCCTCACAGTGTGTCCTGAGTGAAGACCTTGGCGAAGTTTGAGAAATGGTGTAATAATCAAAGATACAGGAGAAAAGCAAACAATGACCATCACCCAACACCGAAGCACTCTCTGAGTAGTCATTTTCTAATGCTGGTATCTTTGCTAAGTTACCAGCAACATTTTAAAATAGTGTGGCATGTGTCTGTTGGGTCTTAGCACTTACCTTGTTCTAAAATATCATTGGCTTTATAAAAATTCCCACAGTGTTGAGTGTGTCACTCAGTAATGGTGCTCATTTACCTCTCTGTAAAACCTTGAGAATGATTGCAGACACCCCAGCCTTTTACAAATGACGACTTGATGGCTGAACTAGAGAACACTTGCAGAAGTGCCTGGAAATATTTCCAAGGCAATTGTACCTTCACCCCACATCCTCATTGCTGTCAGTGCACCCGCTAGATTGTTAAAGCTCAATGTATTCAAGAGTACCTATAACCACTGTCTCTCATCTGATTTCAAATTGGAGAATTCGCAAGTCATTTTCATTCTATCAGAAGAACCCTTGAACTTAAAGAATTTGGAAATATTGTTGTTATTAGGAACATTTCATTTTATCTCTATTGCAACTGACCTCAAAAGAATGTTCCAAGTTGCTTTATCATATACATTTATGTAACCATTACCTAACATCATTTGGAAGGTCATTCATGAGGGGGAAATCATCCCCAGTAGAAAGAGATGGGTTAGGTTAGACCCCCTGTTAACCTTTCCTTCCCAGTAATAAATTCTAGACAAAGGTCAGGGACTTTGTTTTAGTCATTGCATGGCAACTAACAGGTAGTCACTAAATATTTATTAAATGAATGAATGAAACTCTATGATGTCAGTAATGCATGGTAGTCACAACCTTATGGATGTCATTTTGAAATGCTGGTGGAATTTGAACTGGTTACAATTATTAGTTGGAAATACACATACAATCTCATAATTTGGAAACCATTTTAAAGAAGCCAGTTTCAAACACATTTTGGACAATGTAATTAATATTTTGCATATGTACAAGGTAACAAATGTTATTTTTGTGTGTTACCTTAAAATTAATTGTATTTTTAATTAAAAATAATTGTATTTTATTTTCTTATTACAAAAGCAATACATATTACTCATGTGTTTTAGCATGATTTTATTAATCCAGAAGATAAACCTTCTCCAGAGAAATGCATCTCTCGGTTTACACTTACAATAAAAATCAATGAGAAAAAAAAGTATTCAAAAAATCCACTGTTCCCTAACATTGTTATTTTCCTTTTGCAGAAGACAGATATCTACATTCTGGAAATGTAACTTAAATTAATATGACATTAAACTTAAAAGCTCAAAGTACCTAAATTTCTACCAAAAAACCAAAACAAAACAAAAACCAACAACATAAATTACATTACATTCTGATTAAATACATGCAAACAGTGACATGAAGACTCAAAAATGCCTGACACAGATAGAATAAATAAGTATATTGTCTGATCATCAAAAGACAGTTTTTGATGCAGAGAGAAACCCTATCACAACAAAATTATTACAGTACAGCATGCGGTAGGCGGCCAGATGAAAATCATCTGCTACAGGGTAAGAAGCCTTCCTGAAGGCAGCTTTGCATGTAGAAAAGAAGCTCCAAGTTGCTGGATGCTGAACTGCCTGCAGCCCAGCTCTTCACATCTTAGGTAATAGAGTCCTGTATCATCCACAGTATAAAAGAACCATTTGAGAAAAGCTACATTTCATTACTTTCCTTGCTACTCACCCTTTTGCCCAGCAAGTGAGCATTTGAGTGAAAAGGAAAAAAAGAAAGAAAAGTAAAGCTAAAAACATACTATTCTTTAAAAAAATAGACTTTCCTTGCAAGATATAACATCCTTTGGGGATTCCATACTCTCCTTCAGGAACAGTGACATGTCAAAATCACATTTACAGAGATACATTCATACATTTGACAATCACTGGGAAAGAGTTATCTGATTTATCTGTAAGAGAAACTGAATGACTAATACACTGAGGCACTGGTCCACAGCCCTGCCACCCTCACTTTTACATGAAAGACCAGTGACCACAATAGTGACAAGTGGCCAAGAGGCAGGTATCAGAAGACTGCTGCTCTCCAAGTCACAGCCACACCTTTCTCAAGGACTGCATTGTGGTGACAGACCCCACAGAGGGGCATGTATCCTTCCACCTGCCGTGAAGCCAAAATACTTTCTGATAGGGAGTTTTCTTGACTTATTCATGTCATATAAACGGCACTCTCCTTTTCTCTCTAGCCCACATTCCCAACCACCCAGGAGAACTACACCAGCCCCATCTTCAGCTATGAGAGGCACATGCATCAAGTAGAAACCATAGCAGTTACAAAAGGGAACTTAGAAGATGGGTACCCATTTTAGGGAGTCTTGCTGTCAGATCCTGTCTGGAAGGGCCTGGAGCAAGAAAAACTTCTCTAAATGAAAAGGTGGCTACTGACACCTGTTCTTCTATCACTGCAGAAGAGAGGTTTTAGGGACTGAATTTCTCAGAACACCACCTGGTGATTTGTCTCTTGTTTCCAATGTGGCAAATGGTAACTGCTGGCATATGAATGCTGGACTCTAGCCTGCTCACCTGGAACAGATGCAGGGACCAGCTCTTACTGCACAGGAAAGGCTTTATGGAGTTCAGTCTTCTCACTTGGATAGTAACTCTGAAGAGGTGCATTTGCACTCTGGGCAAAAAAGAGCCAGCAAAGGTAGGATGTTAAGTGTCTATACAGAATGAGATTGACCAACTTGGACCAAACCCAGCAAGGAGGTGATAAAAAGGCATTGGTTTGCTAAATGTTTTGAGGCACAGGGAAGATTAATTTTTCAGTATAACTGATAAGCCTATTAGGCAAAAGGGAAGCAAATGTGGTGACATTTCTCCAGGTCTCATTTTGGTGGCCCCGAAAGTCCAGTTCCCACTTAACTTCCTGTTCTAGCCTCTGTGGAGCTGACATTCCAAGCTTTTCAGTAGATCCCAGTCCTTTGGAGAGGTGTGGCCTGAACCTCCACATCATCAGCAAGCCAGCATGAGGGACGCTGCGGAGGGGCATCTGCACACAGCCAGTGTGGTCTCTGCTGCCTACGAGCCAGAGCGGAAGAGACATAAAGCTATTACACCACTGGCCAAGCGGCAAACATAAAAGTAGAGCAGACTCCTTCCCCTACCTTCTCTCCTCCCTTAACCTCCTCATCCCCACATCCACACACATGCATGAACACACTGGCATGCCTACACACACACCTTGACTCTGGGGAGTCAGGCAAACTCGAATGGCGTAGTCATGGGCTTCTTTCCCTGAGGAGCTGACCTCGTGACCATATTGGACCAGGCACTCCTTTCAGACCTGGACCATAAGCTACATACCCAAGATATGAAGCAGAAGCAGTCAGAATCCCTTTGGTAGAAGGAGATCGTGTAGGCTACGTCAGCCAAAAGACCATGCCAATAAAGTAGCATTGTAGTCAAGGCTACTTGGCTTCTGAGGAGGGTCCCTACTGTGGTAGTTATAGGAGTCCATTCTGAAATCAGTCATCAGAGCAGATCAACTTCTTCCCATAAACTGGCATCTAACATTTTACCTTGTGGGAAATTCTTCCCCAAGAATGGTGTTTTTCAAATGTTAAATGTGCATATGAATCACCTGATGGTCCTGGTAAAATAAGGATTCTGACTCAGGAGGCCTGGGATGGGGCCTAGGATTCTGTATTTCTAATGAGCTTCTGGTCCTTGTTAAGGTAACGAGGAATAAAGCATGAGGACAGTAAAACAATCCCATCTGCATTTCCTGTCCCAAAAGAAATGAAATGCTGTTTTATACCATTGACTGCAATGTCTTTAGAAATGGGTAAATCACACTTTAGGAGCAACAGTCCACTAAATGCTAAAAAAAATCTTCATATGTTTTCTTTATAATAGATAATATGAGTTACATGTTGCTAATGGGAGTTACTGCATAGTGCAATGAAATGTAATTGCTTTTTAATTCTTGCATAAATACCAACAGGTACACACAACTATTGAAGTTCATGCACTTTCCCTAATGTTCTTCCTATCTTCCCCAGAAGGTGGCAGAAGAGATCCATGGCTGTACCACGGTCTTCAAATAACAGTGAGAACTTTGTTGGCTTGTCTGAGTCTGAATCCTTGCGCAGCTTGAGGCAAATTTTAGGGATGGAGAAGGGATGGGAAACACAACTGAAAATACAAAACAAAAAACCCAGAAGCCTTCTGATAGGTTCAAGTTACTCAAGAATTTTATTTACCCATTCTACACACACACGCACAAAAACACATTTCAAATACAGTTTAAAACACCTTAAATGAAGCTAAGTGGCACCCTTTGTCATAAGTGACACCTGATTAAATCAGAATGTTGCTAAAGACCTATGTTCCTATTTTCAACAGAGCAGTGCCTAGGAAATCTGCAGTAGAACTCTATTTCCTAGGCTTCCCAATCTGACCCATTCCCATTCAACCCAGAGGTGCTCAGCCCCACACGATTTCCCTTCCCAAAGGGCACCATGTATTTGGTCCGCCCTTTGCTTTGGCCATAGAAAAACCATCACCATACCAGCATAAGTTGATCTTCCTGTTACGCCAACATAATAAAAAATGTACATAAGCAATTCAGATACAAAAACATTGAGTAGGTAAACATTGGTCACAGATATCCAGCGAAAGGCTTACTGGAAAAAAATACTTTTGCTAACCCTTAAAATCAATTTCTGAATGCCAAATTTCCTTCTCATTTTTATTTATTAGATTCAGTGTAAAAGCCAAATGCATGGCTGACTAAAAACAGCAGCCCTCTCCAACAGAATGCAGCGTTCCAGAACAGGGTAAGCTGGGGACACAGAAGCTTCAGAAACAGCAAAAGTGAAGTCCTGGCCTAAAGCAGGGGAGTGGATGAGATGACCTCAAGTAAGGGTAACAACCACAGGCTCTGAACAGGCATTCCTTTAGCTGAGTTCACAAAATACCGTAACAGTGATGGGCAACCTTTATCTTTTACAAAGTAAGGAGAATTTGGCCACTACTATACTAGAAATGTCTATTTAAAATAATAGTGTACAGAACTCCCCTATAAAGAAAACATCTGGAGTGCTTAGTTCCTTTGTTAGACACATTTAATAGAGAATTACAATAATACACATACACTTCAATGGGTGCAATCAGACAGCAGGCAGACGGTGACTGTCAGCTTACAGACTCTATAGTCAGGCAATACCCAGATGTTACTAGTTCCATCAGTCAGCACAGACACTACTAGAGTCTGTCAGTCAGTTGACATACAGACACCACTAGAGTATCAATCAGTCAACACAGAGACACTAGAGTCTGTCAGTCAACATACAGACTCTACTAGAGTTTCTCATTCAATCATCACACAGACACTACTAGAGTCTGTCAGCACACAGATCCTACTAGTTTATCAGTTGGCCAACATATAGACACCACTAGAGTCTTTCAGTCTGCACATGGACGCTAAAGTCTGCTCGTCGGTCAGCACAGAGATCCAACTAAAAACCATCTCCTAGACAGTATGGATCTACATTAAATCCCTAGACACGCTTCTGATATCTGTGTTACCTTGGGGGTGACCCACCAATGTTGCAACCCATGTTGTTCAGGTAGTTATATCTTTTTAATAAGTCAAAATCCATACTAGAAAAGCTGTGTAAATCTATCAAATTTCTTGACAATGAACACAATATGGCTTCTGGGCTTGGCAAAGACAATGAAATGTGCATAAGACTACATAACCCAGATGCAGTTCTTCTGATTACTGGATACTTTTTCCCTTGCCATTGGCCACCCTAACCACCAAGGAGTTTCTGTCAATTAAGATCTCCTGCTCACAAAAAAAAAGGTAACGTAGATGAATTTATTCCCAAACAGCTATATCATGGTTCTTAAAAATGCCAGTGTCTCTGAAGATCAAATGTGGGTTGCAAAGAGGATTACGCAGATCCTCATATGGAATACTCAGCCATTCAGTCTAGGGGTACAAACATATTGGACCCTTACCTCCAACTTCTTCAGAAACAAACAATAACAACAACAGCAAAACACCAGAAGCAAAGCTATAGGGCAGATTCCTAGCACAATGCAAGGTTTAAGAAGCTTTTCTTATTCCACTTTCCAACTCAGTATAAAATTATCCCTTTACTGAAACAAAAACAATACAGATAAGAGCTAAATTCCAATTTAGGGATTAGGAGATAAGAAGAGAAGCAGGTTCTCTAAATCTGCTTTAGATTTCTGTTGCAAATCTGTCATAGACTTGAAGCAAGAATAAGAAAACAGAATAATTTCCCTTTCCCCTCTTTAGACAAGTAAATTTTTAAAAAATTTTTCAGAGGTGAGGTCTCACTATGTTGCTCAGGCTGGTCTCAAACACCTGGGCTCGGGTGATCCTCCCACCTCAGCCTCCCAAGTATCTGGGACTACAGGTAATAAGCCGCAGCCACCAGCTTATTCCAGTAGATTAAATGCTAATGTCTTTATCTATTTCTCATAACATAAAACCTATGGCCTCAGCAGAGAGTACTTTTAAGTCCATTTTTATTTTGTAGGACTTATGATAGACACAATCATAGCAATGTGTATATACTACAACATGCATTCAAGTAAGAAGACCAGGGGAGAAAAGATGAGAAGTAGAGAAGAAACTTCTTTAAAATGTGGAGTAAAAGTTCTTTTCCATTCTACATTTGCCTGGCGTCTTCCTCCTGGACTTCTCTCAAGGGATCTTGCTTTAGAAACCAAAGGATGCTAAAGCCCTTGCTTGTCAGATTCTAATCTCTCATGTTCTATCTGAGGATAATAAGACCCCCCTCAGCTCCTCTTCTGAGGAAAGCAAACTGAAACGGGGGAGAGTGGGGAAATAATGTCAGGCTAAGAGCCAGAGTGAACATCCCAGTGACCTGTCTCTAACACCGGGGCTACTGACAGATTAACACAATGCTAGCTTGTTAGACAAGTGTCCTCTTGCTAAGAGTAGATACAGTGTTAATCCAATCTGTGGATCAAAGTGCTCCCTCTTCTCATTCATTAGTTCTGAATTACTCTCACCTCACAGCAGAAGAAAAGACTGAATGCCCATTTGGGCTACATAACTGGGAGCAAATGTAGACAACGCAACCTCGTAAAAGTGCCAAACATGCCTCCCCAGCCATATCTCCTTCTCACACTAGTGATAGTGGAGGCATCCCCATCCCCCAATCCTTGAAGTCTCATAGCCATAGGACAACAGAAAAGTCAGGAGAAGCGATCCCAGGCTAGAGTGTAGTGGCACGATCTCGGCTCACCACAACCTACGCCTCCTGGGTTCAGGCAATTCTCCTGCCTCAGCCTCCTGAGTAGCTGGGATTACAGGCACGCGCCACCATGCCCAGCTAATTTTTTTGTATTTTTAGTAGAGACGGGGTTTCACCATGTTGACCAGGATGGTCTCAATCTCTTAACCTCGTGATCCACACGTCTCGGCCTCCCAAAGTGCTGGGATTACAGGCGTGAGCCACTGAGCCTGGCCAGAGCACTTCTAGACTCAGAGTGTTGCTATATTGCAAACGTTCATTTGTTACAAATTACGTCATGTCTCTTAAAATAACCTTCCTCTGGGTGATAACCTTTCCTTCTACTTCTGTGTGTCTTTCTCCTATCCCTGCCCCCACCAGACCAAAGCTCCACAAAGACACTCAGTACACGTTATATAACCACTAAACAGGAATAGCAGGTTACTTTACATCTTCGACATAATTTTGAGATGAATCTAGGTAAGCAGCCTTTAGAAGCTGGCTTTGGTATCCTACTTGGGACATACAAGGAAAAGACTCGGGGTCAGGGAGTTATTGCCTGTGATGACAACTTTATCAGCCTGCGGAGTCTGCAACTCTCTCAAGGATGCTTAAAATCCCCAGCTGCTATCTAGGGACAATTATTTAATTCAGTGATTTCTTCCACATCGCTCAGCAATGGAAAGGATTAAAGAGGGGACTAGAACCTAGAATAACCCTCTAAAACACAGCAGCGTGCCTTCCAGAGGGTTACATCATTTGATACTATGACCTGCTCAAACATCAAACCCAAAGAGCTGTCCTTTCAGGACTGAGAAATTCAGAATTCCTAGGCTGACACTTTTGTCTGAGGAACTACTATCCCAGTATTTTTCCACCTAACTTCCTAAGGCGGAGTTCTTAACCTGGGCTATGTCAGAATTATCCGGGGAGCTATGTAATTACATGCATGTCCAGACCAGGATCCCAGAGATTGTGAGTCAGTATTAGGCGCAAGGTGGACACAGGCATGTTTATGATTCAACAACTCTAAAGGGGATTCTAAGGAATTCTCCTGGATGAGAACCACAGCAAAAGGTCTTCCGTTACCATGGAAGCGGACAAGCCGATAACTTTAAGGTGGGGAGTCACCTATCTCTTTTTAAAATCCCATGAGAACTCTAAACTTGCCTCTCAGAAAAACATACATATTTCACACATTTTGCATGCAAAATTGGAAAAGAGGATAAGCCAACATGGTCATCAAGGGGCTAAGAATTCCTTCGCTAAACATTTTCTGTTTAACCCTAAAGAAAATGAAATTACATAAGTGACTAGATAAATATAAACAGTTACGAGCTAGATCCCACAGGGTTCCGAGGACTTCTCTGAACTTCAAGATGAGATGGTTTCTCCTTATGAACAAAAGAACACTCCAATGAGAGAGACTAAATTCATCATCAAGCTTTGTCACATTTGGGAAATAAATGCTAACGTATAAACTATTTTGTTTTGACGTGTCTTTCTTCTTAAACAGGGTGTGAAATTATGTGACAATAAGCCGTTTTAGTGAACTCTTCTCTGCCTCTTGCCTTGAGCAATTCAAACATCAGTGGTGACTCCTGAATTTAACTGCCCTTCTAAACCGCCCCAGAGGATTCTGACTTTGGCAGGAAAAGTTGCTGTGATTGGCAAAGAACCCGGGAACCATGGGAGAAAAGATGTGACTGGTCTCCGAGAGTCCCGCATGAGCTGCAGCCCACCCTGCTCTCCAAAACCCCACTCTGCAGACCTCAAAAGACCCAGGCCTGACTCTAAGTTAAAAATAAAAGCCAAGATATTTCCCACATCCTCAGAGCCAGATTCCCCCAGGGCATCAAAGACTTAGGACTGTATCTCATGAAAGAAGGCAAGAGCGCTCACCCTATGTACACTTGCAAGCTCCAGAGTATTCTGTGGATGTTCTGTAGCCTGGGCTGGCCCTTGCAGGACCTGGCTGGAGAGGAAGGGAGAAAGGAAAGGAAAGACTTCTCCAGTCCAGATCCATCTGGACTCACTGCAGAAAGCATCAGCTGGGTCAGACTTGTGTCTTGCCAATCACCCCTTCCTTCCTAGACAGACACCACAATGCCATGCATTACACCGGACAGTCCAGAGGGGACATGAAAGTGGAAGGGGAAAGCAGTCAAGTAAGCACTGTGAGGAAAACACACATTGAAGAGACAGAGGTGAAGGAAGAATGGACGCTTTGTCCCCCCACCACTCACCCACCCTCCATCCCCCCAACACTTTACCCACACGAGGACATTAGTGAAGTAAGACACCAGGGAACACAGAGAAGAACCAAGAGCGTGGGGCATGCTCAGCCCCAGTGGAATATATCTTTTTCCTCCTCCTCCAGACCATTCCATCTGAGAATCTGTCCTGAAAGACCCAATTTGCTAACCTGCCCCTGGTGGAAAAATGTTTCAGAAGAACAGCTAAGGTTGTCCTATAAACACATAACCTCACGTTCTGTGTTAAGATTAATGGTGAAGTGACAGGGGTTGGGGTGGAGGGAGGAAGTTAAATGACTCCTTGATGATTAGTGACAAGGGCAGGAGGCCAGGGCTGGAGGGAAACACACGGTCACACCACCGGAATGCTGACTTGGGTCTTCGGCTAGTCGGCCCCTTCTTGCATGTCCAGGGCACGGAGAGGGCTGAGGGGCTTGAGGGGCCGGCTCCCAACACTGTAATTTCTTGGACGCCTTATTGTATTCGAACTGGACAGAGGCGTAAAGCTGTTCCTTCTCATCCTTACAGGGGTTTGGTTCTTGGGGAAGTTGTTCTGATTGGAAATGGAGCGACACCACACAAATGAAAGCCAAGCCAAAAGCCCACTCATACAGGTTAATAACGTGCTTGTAACCACAACAGCTTCCCTCACTCCTGCTCCTCTGCACACAGGGTCCCTCAGAGGACATGGGCCATGGCCTGGCCTCCTAGCACCAGGGAGCTAAAGGGGAGAAGCTCCTTGAGCATAACATTCCAAAGCAGGAAAAAAGACCCAAAGAGAAGAAGGGGCTTATTGAAGACCACACAGAACCAGGGACAGATCTAGAAATGAACCTACACCTGTTGAACCCCACCTTATATGCTCCTCTGGACTCTGCTTTCTGAAGGAACACTTGGGATTGGAGAGGGGTGGTAATTTGCATTTCTCTTCAGCCAAATACTTTCCATATTTAATTGAATTTCCGGGAGCCAACATTCAAGGTTAAGGACTCACGAAATGGGTACTAATTTTTAAAAATAATAATTCCAACATCTCTTTCAGACCTAGCAAACTATGTAAAACGTAAGTTCTGAATCTGTTCCCTTTTGTACAACAAAGAAACCCCAGACTCGTAATGCTAAAGCTTCAAAGACTCAAGGTGGCAGGGAAACTGGCGTGTTCACCATGGGAAAATACTTACAGTTGGCTTGTCGCGGTGTGTGTTCACGGCCTCCACGTTAAGCTTAATTGTTTCCACTTTGCACCCTGAGAAAACAGAGGAAAGAGAAGCCTCAAGGAAAAAGCAGAAAGTAAAGAGGTGGGTTGTTAGCTATTTCTTTTTCCCAGGTGGAAACTTCCTTAGTTTCATATGGGAAAGCATACCACAAAGGAATGTGGGCATTCTTCAATACATACAGTCACGCACAGGTAACTTTAAAAACAGAAGTCGTACTTTTTTATATATTATAACAGAAGTTATAATATATAAGTACATTATCCCTATGTACTCATATATATGGAATAAGTACTTATATATATGGAATATATAAGTACATAGGGATAATGAAGCTGAACTCTTAGACAAACTTTGGAGAAAATTCTGACCTTTCTCAATTCCCAGCTCCCACCAGCCCCTAAGTGCATAGTTACCGTAGGCCACAGGAGTAAGTTTGAAGATGGTATGGAGAGGGCATCTCAAGTATGGTAGCTCATCTGAAAGCAGAAAAACTAGGTGAGGGAACTTTCTTAGTATTATGGAGTAAGGTCAAGTTAGTGGAAGAGAAACCCTATGTAGCTCATAATGAGCTTCCCTTACCCTGACCACCTCCTAGAGTTGTATGACTCCTCCCTTAAACCCTAGAACACAAAGCCACCCAACCTTCTGCATGGCTAAGGAAGGAAACAAGGCCATCTTAGATCATTCTATGCGGGCAAATCAGGAAGAAGTACTGTAGCCAGAGGCCCCCATGGAAGGAGTTCACCTGGGTACAGCAAAGGCCAGTAATGCCTGCCACAACAGCTTCCCAGCAGCTCAGGATGCTGAGATAAGCCTCCACAATGCAGGCTTCTCAGTAGCTCCAGAAGATCAGGAAGGGAAGTATGGAAGAAGGCAGCGGCACCTTCTTACTGCCTTTACCCAGAAACAACTGCTACTCCTAAGAGATTACCCGCCTAGTAGGCAGCGTGGCAGGCTGGGAATGTCCAACCACTGTCTTGATGCTGCCAGGAGTGTCAGCGTGACACTGACCCTTGAGCCAGGCAGGATCAAGGAGCACCAGCAGCAGCCACTTTCCATTGGAAGCTCTTGTAGCAGCAGAGTGAGCTCAGCAAGTCATTGACCCAGTGGCTGCTGGGAGCCCCACACTGCTGCCTGGAGAAAGTACTCTAATTTGAGTGGAAGACAGGGAGGTCTGTTTCCCAGGAGTCCTGGTGCCACTGTGACTCCCAGCCCCTCCCTCAAAGGTACCTGCGCCCTTATCCAAGAAGTAGGCCAGAAGGCAGCGCATGACAGCCTGGTGGGAGATGACGAGGACATTGCCCTGACGTTCTAGCTCCATGATGACAGGCTCCAGCCGCTGCACCAGGTCCTGGTATGACTGTGGAGGGAAATGGGCCAGGCTGGCAGGAGGCCAGGTGCAAGCTGCCAGCCAAGTCCGTGGCTGGACCTTGGAATCTAAGGGCTACTTCTTCAGCTGGCTTTCCTCCTGGAGGCTCAGTGAGTTTGCATCACTGTCACCTGCTAACTGCCCCTAGCCCTGGTATCTCTTGAGAAAACTCGGATTTTTCAAGAGCAATATTTAGACCAAGAAAACTATAGGTCAAGATGAGGAAGTGTTAGTTCAACTTGTGTTCTACGGATCTCCTGTTCAGTTTTATGTACTTTTGCCTCACACATCCCTAGAGTATGAAAGCCACTTAGACAAGGAAATACCCGAAAACACTGAAGATGATAGAGAAATAATTCCTATCCCATATATTTACTTGGTGACTCCACTTGCTTATGTGAAGCTGAGATTGAGAGAGTACAAGGAAAACAAGAAGGAAAAATGATTGTGTAGATTCTAAAACATACTGAGCACAGAGGATGCCTTTGGCACCCTTATCCCTGGGACTATTAACAATTAACGAGGCATTCGATTGTCTAAGCTGAATGAAACCACAATGACCCAAGGGAAGGAATATAAATGATGCCTAGACCCTCCAAATCACATTCAATCCTTCCCCCAAATTAAAGCTAAACCCTTAGCAAGGGCCCAGGCAGTCACTTACCTCCCCACCAGGATATCGATACAGATACTTCTCTTGATCTCGAAGTGCAAACTCTTCTGGGTACTGCTTCTCAATCTCCGCATAGGTCATCTCTTCACACACGCCCTGCAAAAAACCACCTGAACCTGGCTTGAAGAGGTAGACTGTCTCACACCAGCCCATCCCAAATAAGAAGGATGACACCGAAGAATGCTAGTTTCTTACTATGTGCCAGGCACTGTGCTGGGTCCTTTCACATATTACAGCCACCTGTGACCAGAGCATCACAGAGTGTCTGTGACCTGCAGGGTGAGGACCACTGCAGGGAGGAAGCAACTTCTCTAGCTCAAGCTACCCTGTTCTCCTACTACTGGGGGGAACTTATAGGTCAAGAAAGTCGAGAGGCTCAAAGGAACAGGAAGCAGAGAAGGAGAGAAACTGAAGGGACTGGGGACCTGCAGGAAAAATAAAAGGGTAAAAGGAAAGAAAAAGAAATGTCTACTTTTGTTCTCAAGAAGAGAGAAAGCCAAGAGAAATTTGGGGAAAAACTTTTCCTGAATAGCTGACCAAATGATTTAAGCAGAAAGTAAAGAAGTGTGTTATTAGCTATTTCTTTTTCTCAGGCAGCAAATATTCAAAGGAACAAAATGAGTCCTTGTTAATCCCACTTTCCCCAGGTGCCAGAAAGGCTGGCTCAAAAATTGATTTGGGTCCCATGATTGGCACAGGTACTGAAGCAGGCAGGAAACTCCCGATTGGAGGTACCGTTGTCCACCCTGAGCCTCTGAACTGGCCATAGAGTCAGCTTCCTCAGAGTTTTGACTTGGTGGTTCTAGTTTCCTAGATAAAACTGTCCAAATAGTGACTTCTGAGAGTTCCTGTCTGAACACAAGACTCTCGTTGGCTTTTCTGGACCTTGAGAGTTTCCTACTCACAGCATCAATCTCATTCAGAATCTTCCACTGCTCATAGGGCACCCCAAGAGATTCAGCAGTCTGTATGGTCCTCTTCAGCTGGCTTGTCCACACTTTGAGGTCTGTTATCTCCTGTTCCTCCAGAAACTTCCTTAGAGCTTGGGCAAACTGGAGTTTTAAAATAAAAATTAAAGGAAAAAAATCACACACAGACACACACACACACACAGACACACACACACACACACACACACACCCCACAACACAGCCTGATAACTTGGCCTTTAATGGACAACATGCATAACCATGGTCAAAATCCTCTTAGGTATAAACCCAAGAGGAAATGAACTTTAACTGGAGCACCCTGTATATTGCTGAGTGCACAAGTTATGCCCAGTAAGTATCTGATGGCTGAATGACCACAGCAGAAAAGGGTCCAAGTTATCGACACTTCATTACAGAGCTAGACACAGTAACAAGAGCACACCTTGATCACCTGCCTGACTAGGAAACCATGGCCTAAGTCCAGATGGGATTTAAGTAAGGAGATAAAAGAGATGACCTCAGCCATGCCCTTCTAACTCTAAGCCTAGAAAAGTCAGTGTGCTGACTAACTACTCACCTGCTTTCCCCGTACCGAGAGGCCAGAGTCGCCCCCAATCTTCCCCAAGAGATTGAACTCGCTCTCTCCGTGCCGGCAAAGGTAAATGGTGCGAGGCTGGACATGGATATTCATGAGGTAGTAGACTATCTTGCTCTGGATGTAGTCCTGGACTCTGTTGACTAAAAATCGCTGGCCCACATTTATCACCTTGATGAAAGAAAGATCCCTGGGACAGGGCAGAAAAAAAATTCCCTGGGTATGAAAATCTGAGCATAAGAATCAGAGAAAAAAGGATTTCTACAGGGACTTGCAGGTTCCCAGCTGCTTTTCCTCCTCTCCCCTGTCACACCCCCATTTATGGAATCAAATGGTAGGAGATGACTCCTTAAAACCAAAATGAAGTACAATTTCCTGAACTTCTAGTAAGTCTGTACCATTTCCTCAGTGCCTGTACTGTGCCATGTAATGCAAATAAATATGATAAACAGAATTCATGCTTCCCATCGAGGGCTAGAGACTAGGTGACCTGAAGATTTTGCTAAGCCCGAAATTTGGTGAGAAGAATAAGTCCCATTTGAGGTAGTCAAGACCTGGGCAGAATATGGCATGACAAGCAATGAGGGGAAGGAAGGAGGGAGCAGAAGCAGAAAGAGCAGTGTCTACACACTCCCTGCATCTACCTCATCACGCTTCCCTCAAAGACACTTTCAGATATTGCTTGCTTTGAGGCCAACATGGGATTCTCTTTATAAAAGTCGTAAGTGTGGCCAGGCGCAGTGGCTCATGCCCGTAATCCCAGCACTTTGGGAGGCCAAGGTGGGCAGATCACGAGGTCAGGAGTTTGAGACCAGCCTGGCCAACATAATGAAACCCTGTCTCTACTAAAAATACAAAAATTAGCCAAGCGTGGTGGTGGGTGCCTATAATCCCAGCTGCTCGGGAGGGTGAGATAGGATAATCGCTTGAACCCGGGAAGGCGGAAGTTGCAGTGAGCTGATTGCACCACTGCACTCCAGCCCAAAAAAAAAAAAAACAGTCATAAGTGCTTATTTTAAATAAAATATTCAGAAAAAAAGATGGAAGGATACAAATCACCCATCACCCTACTACCAGAGATAACACCTACCAACATTCACATGTATATATATGTAGAGATGTGTGTGTGTCTGTGTGTGTGCGCGTGGGTGTGGGTATTCTTCTGAATGTTTTTCTAGGTGCAATTTTGTTCCAACTGAAGAAGACTTTTATGCCAAACCACAAAGAGGTGGTTTTCAGCCTCCATATTAAGGGGATCCTGGGAAAACCACATGAAGAAACTGAAAGGCTCAAAACATTAAACAGACCACTGCATTAAGTGTGCCATGCACATTAAACGGGCCATTTACTTGACTGCAGGTCTGTATTATTTGAATAGAGTTGTTAACTGCCCTAAATGCATGTTTTTTTATGAGGCCACCTTTCTGCAGATTTCCATGTGTATACCATTTTTCCTCAACATGGACTTGGTATTTTGTTACAGCTAATATACCTCACACATGACAAGTTAATCTATATTCTCTACCATGCTACCAACAGATGCTTCCACAGTAATGATGGCTGGCATTGATCAGACATTTCTCTGAGTCAGGCATGAAGCCTGGCATTGAGATGTGGAGCAGTGGGGTGATTTTGCCCCCCAGGGAACACCTGCCATGTCTGGAGACATTTTTGGTTGACACAGCTTGGAGGTATTACTGGCATACAGTGGGCAAAGGCCAAGGAAGCTGCTAAACATCCTAGAATGCACAGGACAGCTCCTACAACAAAGAATCCCCCAGTTCAAAGTGCCAATAATACTGCGATTGAGGAAATCGTGCTTAGAGACTAGAGAGAGAAAAATTAATGATAAAAAAACACTTCCAGCCAGGCACAGTAACTCATACCTGTAATATCCAGTACTTTGGGAGGCCAACGTGAGTGGATCATTTGAACTCAGGAATTCAAGACCAGCCTGGCCAACATAGGGAAACCCTATCTTTACTAAAAATACAAAAAATAGCCAGGCATGGTGGCACACGCCTGTGGTCCCAGCTACTCGGGAGGCTGAGGTGGGAGGATCATCTGAGCCCAGAGGGCAGCGGTTGCAGTGAGCCCTGATTTTGCCACTGCACTTCAACCTGGGTGACAGAGCAAGATCCTGTCTCAAAAACAAAAACAGAAACAAAAAAAAACCACTTTGGTTTTCGTGTACAAGATGCAACCCACAAAAAAGCCACAAATCCACACCTTATTTCTCTGGGGTGATGTTAACACTAGATTTGGATTATCAGAAGGAAGTTAGAGATTAGAGGGAGAAAGGTTGTTTTCTCAGATGAGACCTTTGCCTTGGGCCCTTCAAACCATGGCCTTAAACCTTACTTGTCATAGTTGTCTGGGTCAAGGGGACGGTAGGTAACTTTGTAGCACTCAATTCTCTTCAGGAAGTCCTCCATCACGTTCTCCCTGTTCCTTTCAGGGTAGTCAGGGCTGGACACCTTAACCTCCTAAAATCACAGCAACAGTAAAGGCCTCGTCAGAGGTGTGCCCTTAATAGCCCTCCTACAAATAGCCACTGCTATAAAAAGAAAAAGAACCCCATAAAAGTCGTCTTTCACTGGAACATTGGCACTCCACTCATTGAGTACCCCCTCCCCCATCCTGTGACCCTGGCAACCAAAAAAGTAGAGACAACTGGGGAGTCATGTGCCTGCACTTGGCTGCAGGACAGAGGCAGTCACGCAGCTGAAGCTGCTCCTGGGCCCCAATCCCTCTATGTACTTTCCTGAGGAAACAGAATAGGCTCCAGTGTTTCCCCATTACCACTCGGAATAGGGTGCATGACCCCAGTGCCTGACTTGGGACCAGATGCCTCTTCCTCAGATGATCCCAAATTCCAATTGCTGAGAGAGCACCTGCATGAGACCGTGTATGGTTATCTACTCAGCCTAGCAGAGCACAACCCATCCAATGTGGACTGTCTTATGCTGTGACCCCACAGGGCATGAGGAGCTCGATGTATAGAACACTGACTGGAACACTGGACAATTGCTGAGGAGATAAGCTTCCTGTAGGTAAGTCCCGAAATGAAGAGTCTGATTCATTCCTTTTTTTTTTTTTTTTTTGAGACAGGTTCTTATTCCGTCACCCAGGCTGGACTACAGTGGCACAACCACAGCTCACTGTAGCCTTGACCTCCCAGGCTCAGGTTATCCTCCCACCTTAGCCTCCCAAGTAGCTAGCTGAGATTATAGGGATGTGCCATCACACCCAGCTAATTTTTGTGGTTTTTGTAGAGACAAGGTTTTGCCCATGTTACCCAGCCTGGGCCTTGAACTCCTAGGCTCAAGCAATCCACCTACCTCAGCCTCCCAAAGTGTTGAGACTACAGGCATGAGCCAATAAGCCCAGCTGATTTATTCCAACATCTAGTCTCAGCATCCAGATAATATGCAGAACACAGGGCCGAGACTCCTACAACCTAAACCCTGGTCTCCATTCAACAGATAATTCTTACTTGATTCCCTAAAACCTCAGTTTCCTTTCCCAAGAGAAGAGTATAGAAGTACCAGATCAGACAGAAAAGATCTCTTTGAGATGTTAAACATGGCCATTTCTCTCTTTCATTACCCCAAACACCCCTTCCCCACAGAGAACACACACACACACAGACACACACACAGACACACACACACAGAGATGCACACACAGACACACACACAGACACACAGACACACACACAGACACACACACATGTAGCACAAAAGGTGAAGAGGAGGTGATGTGTAGGGTGTCACCCACCAGAATATTGGCAGCAATGACATCAGGATCATCACAGACAGATTCCACAAAGAACACCTGGCCGTGGGGAGAAGGCAGTTATACACAAGTCAAAAATGCCAAGCTGTCAATTAAGAGCACGTGCTCATCTACCCGACCCAGCCACCACATCTCCCAGGATTTTCTTCATGAAAGTGGCCTTCAAGTCCTCCTCATAGCTCTTACCGCATCCCCTGAGCCTTAAATATACATACAGGCTAAAGGTCTGAGAAAGGACCTGAAAGAAAACACTCAAGGACTGGGGGTATGCTCTGAGAGAAGAGGTTCAGATATCCCATCCTGCCCTCACCCACTAGAGTGAAAGAGATCGATGCCCCCAGCCTGACTCCCCACCTCTACTCATCCTTTTTCCCCCAGCATGGAGTCAGATCCCACCTTGAAGGCATTCTGTTCAGCAAAATTCAAAATCATATCCCTCCTCTCCCGGGTGGTATTGGTAGCGTCAAACACCTGTGAAGAACGCACACAAGGTAAATGAGCAGGAACAGAGAAATGGAACCCCACCAGGGCAGACTCAAGGTGGGGCTGGGTAGCCAGGCTGCTGCCAGGGTGGGGACCAGGAAGAAGAAGAAACAGATAAAGCTTACCGCAATCTGACCATTCTCCTCGGTGAGATACGCCTTAACGTCTTCCAGCGCCACCAGAGCACACTGTCTGCCAGGAGAGCAAATGAAACCAGCAAGGAGAGCTAAGCTCAAACACAGTGAGAGACACAGACATTCGGGTGGCTACAGGAGTCATATCCCTACCCACTTAGTTTCCCACTGCCGAAAACCTTCCTCTAACTAGATCTTTCCGCTTACTCACTGAGGGCTTTCACACCATCCTATAACCCCTTCCTGCCCCTGCCCCGATGCACAGATCTTATCCCTCTTTAGACTTCTCCTACAAGCACACAGGTATCACCCTGAGTCCTGTTCTTCTGCCCACCCAAGCCTAAGGTCACTTGCCCATCAGGTAACTTACACTTAACTTCCCCATAGATATTTACTGAGATGAAACCAAACCTTGTCACACTGAGACTCACAACAGCCAAGAAAGAGCTGACCTGGAGATCAGGCCTTAACCAAGACTCACTTGCGGATCTTCATGGCCTCCTCATTGTCATGCCGAAAGAAGTCGTAGGACTTATAGGACTTGACAGCTTCACGCCGATACACCCCAAGATTAAACACTGCAGAAGACACCCAAATCCTTCAGCAGCAAAACAATATGATGGCCCCACCAAATGGGACTTCTTGCTTGGCCTAATGTCGGAGTGGCCAAGGGGATGAAACAAGCAGCATGGCAGCTTGGAAGAAGCATCGGATTAAGAGTCAAAAGAGTTGGGTTCAAGCCCTGACTTTCTAGACCTTGGACAAGTCTTAAGCTGTCTGAGGTTTCCATTTCCTCAGCCACTCTATTTCGCAGCAACACTGATAGGGTTGGATAACATACATGTAAGACCTCTGAAAATGTACAGCCCTATGCTCTTCTACATCTTAATAGTCCTATCAAAGGCATTCTCTCAAAACTAGGCCAATCCACCCACGCCAGAAGGAGACAAGTCTGGGAACAGAATAACTCCAGTAAACCAGAAAGCAACTGCTATTTCTTCCAGAAGCACCCTATAGCATTGATGCCAGGAAGAGTAAGTCTCCCAGAGACCTGTGAGGCCCAGGAAGTAATAAATTCCCTTCCTGAGGAATGAGCCACACTTACCTTTGGTGGGCACTCCAATCCAGTTGAGGTAGCGTGTTAGTTTCTTGGACACGTAGGTTTTTCCCCGGGCTGGCAAACCAATCATAACGATGAGAGTCGGGGAGTTGGTCATGTAGGAGGCCCATGCTAGAAAGAAATGAAACAAAATAAAATGAAATGACTAGGGGCCTACTAAGGTTTACACACTGAGCTACGAACTTCATAGGCAATCTCATTTTATCTTCATAAACCTCTAGAAAAGCAAAGGTTCAGGAAGTCTGGGAAGACAAATAAGGAGATATCAGGCAGACCTCCTGAAACAGTTAAAGAATTGAGCGGAAAATACCCAAACCACGACACGTCTCTTCTTCATGTCTGAGGTCTTCACTGAGATACCCAAGGTGGAAAGAGGGGAAAAGTGGCAAGGATAAGAAAGAAAGTAATCATGATGGGGCTGGACATGATAGCTCGTGCCTGTAATCCCAGTTACTTGGGAGGCTGAGGTGGGAGGATCACTGGAGGCCAGGAGTTCAAGATAAACCTGGGCAGCAGAGAGACCCTTGACTCTTTATATATACATCCATATATACATATGTACATGTAAATATGTTTATATATTTAACTTAGCCAGGTATGGTGGTGTGCACCTGTAGTCTCAGCTACTCAGGAGGATTGCTTGAGCTCAGGAGTTCAAGGTTGCAGTGAGCCATGATCAGATCATTGCACTCCAACCTGGGCAACAGAGCAAGACTTTGTCTCAAAAAAAGAAAGAAAAAAAAAACATTGACATCCTCCTTAACATAAGAATGCCTGGCAATATAAAAATGATATAGCTGTGAAGGAAGGTCTAATGCTTGGAGATTCTACCAGTGCAGAACTGAGCAGGCTCCTATAGTAGGTCCAACAGAGATTCTGTCTCCAGTATCCCACTCATCCCTTCAGAACCATGCAGGAGAATTAGCTTGTCCACTGCAGAAAGCTTTGCCTCAAGCTGTTTTGGCCTTTGCACTCAGGCCATGAGCTCCTCTTTAAGCTAGAATTTCATAGTAAGACTGAGTTGGGAAAGCCTACTTGATACACATTCTTTTTTTTTTTTGCAATGTTAATTCACTTTATTTTTCTTGTATAAAAATACTATGTTGTAGCCACAGCTGGAGCTTGGGTCCTCTGCACGGAGACTCTGGTGTGGGTCTTGACAAGGTGGTCAGTGAATTCCTGATAGGGAGACTTGGTGAGCACAGTCTCCTTCCAGAGATCAGGGGTCAGGTAGCTGTAAGTCTTAGAGATGGCATCAAAGGTGGCCTTGGCAAAGTTGCCCAAGGTGGCAGTGCAGCCCCTAGCTGAGGTGTAGCAGTCATCGATACCAGCCATCATAAGCAACTTCTTGGGCACAGGTGCTGAGACGATGCCAGTACCCCTGGGCGCGGGGATGAGATGCACCAGCACAGAACCACAGCGGCCTGTCACCTTGCAAGGGACGGTGTGGGGCTTGCCGATCTTGTTCCCCCAGTAGCCTCTGCGCACGGGGACAATGGAGAGCTTGGCCAGGATGATGGCCCCACGGATGGCAGTGGCCACCTCCTTGGAACACTTAACACCCAGACCGACGTGACCATTGTAGTCCCCAATAGCAACAAACGCCTTGAACCTGGTGCGCTGGCCAGCACGGGTCTGCTTCTGTACCGGCATAATCTTCAAAACCTCATCCTTGAGAGAGGCCCCCGGGAAAAAGTCAATGATCTCAGATTCCTTGATGGGTAGAGAGAAAAGATAGGTCTCCTCCAGAGATTTAAACTTCATGTCTTTGACCAGGCGGCCCAACTTGGTGACAAGCATCCACTCCTTATCCTCGGCTTTGCCTCCGCGAGCTCCGCGGCCTCGGCCCCGGCCCCGGATGCCACTGCCGAAACCTCCGCGGAAGCCACCGCGGTTCCCCATCCCCCCATCCCCCCCACCCCCCCACCCCCCCGCGCCACTGCACCGGCGTCATCCGCCATTTGGTGTTTTATTGGAGAAGAAGCGATACACATTCTGAATAGACCTCGGGAAGCTTCAGGGTGGAGCTAGCCCACACAGGGCCATCAGGGCCAACCTGCCAGCATGGATCATGTAAAAGCCAGACAACTGAGAAGCATTAACAGTCCTCAGTTTACCCTTCCTTAGTAAATTAACTTACTTCAGAAATGCTCATTTGCAGAGATAAGTCTCACTGGACAGGCAGGGCAAATGATGTCCAGGGGATAGCTGACCTGTCTAGGGACACATAATGAGTCAAGGGTACAGTTGGCCCTGGAACAGCAATCTTTGTGCTTCCTTGCAGCTTTTCTCCATAAAAAGAGGCTCCTCATCACTTTGCTCATAGGGGCTGGCTCCTCCTGACCCATCCTGCTGCAGAGGAGAGGTGGGAGAAGGACCTGCACTGTTACCAGCCACTGTCCTGGGGCCAAGAACCACACTGAGGTCATCTGGGATGGCTCAGGCTCTACTGGCTCCAATGAGGGAAGGCCCCGCACAGGATAGGGTAAAGGGAAGAAACACCTTCCCCTCCCACTTCCCACTACTGCTTCCCAGAAGGTGCCCTGCAAGTTGCAGCTGCCTCTCTGCCTGGGGCTAAGTGACCTTGTGTGATTAAGAAACTATTCTGTAAGCTGGAGCTACTTTGATGGGAAATACAATACAACTTTCATTTTTTTGAGAAATAAAGGTAAAAAGATCTCAGTGGAGAAATGGGTGGAGGGGCCTAGGGAGAGAACCAACCTCGGAAGGAAGTTTCCTAAGGGTGTTTGGCAAGTACTCAGAGTGACCCTAGTGGTGAGTAGGAAGAAGTGGAGGCCCACACCTGGGGTCAGAGGGTTTGGCTGTTAGCCCTTTACCCACTGTACACATGGAAAGTTCCTGATTCTCAGCAGGAGCCTCTCCAAGGTAGGTAAAAGAGCCACATAAGTGATTTTCAGCTCTGTGCAAATAGGGAGCTCAAAGGCAAGCAAACTACCCTGCAGCCTCAGCTGGCATTAATCCCTGACCACTGACCCCTAACAGGCAGATAGCCTCTGCATGGGATCAGCTGCCTCAGGTTTAAGTAGTAAAATCCCCTGAGTCTTCACTTTCTCCAGCTCAGCTCAACGCCTCCTCTCAATCCTCCACCATTTGGCTCATTACCTTCACTCCTAGGCCTGCTGTGTCCACACCTTCCAGCCCATTAGACACTTCCCCCAAAGGTCCTGTTACCCTCCCTAAAGCTTAAAAGGAACTGATACTTGGGAGCTGCCCTGAAGGCAACCAGGGAACCAGCTGCTCTATGTTTACCCATGTGGACAGAGAATGCAAAGAACAAAAAAGAAACCGTATCCACCAGGGACCTCCCAAGAGCCCTCCAGCAACGCACCTCTCACCTCTTCCTGGAACACGCTCCTGCACACCTCTTACAACCAGGGCTTCTCATTTTCTGGAGTACAAAACTAAACCCCACTTCTTATCTCAAATTGCCACACTGGCAAAAGTAGGAACATTCCGTCCTGCCTGTTAAGAAAACCTGCCACCACCACCTGATTAATTTCAGAGACAATGTAACCCATCTCTTGTCATACAATAGAAAACTACTCAATCCTGAAATTGTCTTCCACCTGCTGTAAGCCAGGTTCAACTACTCTTCTCAGACTTAAACTTATTTTCCCTTCACAAACTTGCTTAGATAAAATGAGGATTTGAGGCCGGGCATGGTAGCTCACACTTGTAATCCCACACTTTGGGAGGTCAAGGTGGGTGGATTGCTTGAACCCATGAGTTTGAGACCAGCTTTGGCAACATGGTGAAACACCATTCTATTAAAAATACAAGTTAGCCAGTCTCAGAACCCAGTCTGAAAACAAACAAATAGATTAAAAAAAAGAATTATTTACAAAAAAAAAAAAAAAAAAGAGAGAGGACTTCATAACTTCCCTCATGTAAATGGAAAAACTCAAGCTAAGAGCTTTGCCCATGGACCCACAGTAGACAGTCAAGGTCAGGGCTCTGACCAGTCTCCTGATCTCATGACTGTCCATTCAGTCCCAGCTGCCAGCTCCCGTTCCTCATGTCAGCACTTGACAAAGGTACCCTCACGATAAACCCAACTATGCTCTCCGTCCTAATCCTGAAGGAAGGTCTAGGAGAGCAATGGTTCCCAGCCTTTTGATGACCCAGATCATCTTCTTTTATTGGTTCTAAAGAGAGATAACATTTAGAAATATGCATATTAGCATGTTTCATTAGTGATATTTTACCTTTATTCATCAGAAGTCAGAACTGCTGATTAACTCCTGCCAGTTGACAGGCAGGAAATAACCAAGGTCATACAACTGCAGTCAAACACTAAGAAAGCTCATATTTCAGTTAACCACTAGGCTATAGTTGGCACTGCCCCATTTCCATCAAATATCTTGAAATATTAAAAACAGCTTACAATATAGACCGTTTTAAGAGGGCAAATTAGTAATGCCGATGAACATTTCCAATGTGTCTATCTTTTCTATTTCTGTAGGAAAAGTCGCTGGCACAAATGTGCAAAGGTGTATGTGTAAGAATGGTCACTGCAGCACTCTGTGATGATGAAAAGCTGGAAACAATTTAAATGTCCAACCGCGCAAAGCTGGCGTATCCATACCATGCCGAATGAGGTAAATTTGGATTTACCCACATGAAAAGATTGTTCACAAGACAGTAAGTTATTTAAAAAAAAAAAAGGAAAAGACAGCTGAATAGAATGTGAAGAATATCAACCTACTTTTATTAATAGGATATACCAAAATAAGATGTCTAAAAGAATCATACTTGGAAGAGATAGGAGTTTTTTTTTTTTACTTTTTGCTTTATAAATTCTTTCTGTAGTTTCAGTTTTTTATGAACATACATTGCTTTCATATTTAGGGAAAGATAAATGGAAGAACTTGTCTGTTTCAGAACTACTCAAAAAAAATTTTTAAGAAAAAAAAGCATGTCGATTTCTCCATTTCTGCTTTCATAAGACTTGCAACCAGGCCTCTGAGCACCTTAAAGTCACCTCAGCCGGTAGCCCCTCTTCACCTCATCCCTGGAGCAGCTGAAGTCCCAGTAATGCTCTTTAGGAGGTTTTGACCCCCAAAGTCATTCTTCAGCTCTGAAATCCTTAAGCCCAGCCACTTTCCAGAGTCAAAGTAAGCCAACACAGGTGTAATTAGCAGCAAGGGGACAACAGTTAAGCTAGTAAGAAAGCAGCTGCTGATGTGAACACTAAGCAGCCAGGGGAACCTGCTCCAAAGTGCAGCTCCAGAGGAAAAGGAAGTGAGTGAACACACCCTCAGAACTGTATTTTCCCCTTTGACTATGGCTGCAACAGCCTCACAGCCTGATTGGAAGGTGGAGAGACTGGGGTAAATAAACCATGGTGGCTTCTTCTTCTTTAAGAAAAAGGTGTTTAGAGAAGCTAGAGCTTGGAAAAAAGAGATTAGAGCCCAGAGCAGGAATTTGAGTTTAGAAGACAGGAAAGAAACCAAGGATTACTGTTTCCTTGACTAATTGAAAGCCCTCAAGGCAGATGAACTGCAAAAGAATTAGGAAGGCAGGTAGAAGAGATTCCTACCATGGAGAAAAAAGCAAAGCTAGGACTGACACAGGGCATCATGGAGTCAGAGACTCCCACAATTATCTATTCCACCCCCCAGCCCCCGCTCTCTTTTGGATCAAGCACCCTAGTAACACGAGTGTACCTCCCTTTAAGAGACATGTCCCAGATCCCCAATCTGGGTTACAATATGGTCAAACAAGAGGAGAAAACATTCTTCACTGAAAAAATAATTCTTCCCAAGCCTCTTTTAAATAGTGAGCTTCCAATACACCATCTGAGTGTGGTTCAATATAAACATTACAGGAATAAATGCAACAGGCAGATTGAGTCACCTGGGAAAAATAACACACACTAGCTATATGCCCCACTCTTCGAAGTGCCTACCTTTAGTCATTTAATACTCACGTCACTCTTGGGGGACATACTATTAGTATCCCCACTTTTTAAAAAAGTGAACTGAGGCATGGAGAGGATAAACAACTTGTTCAAGAGCTAAGAAGTCATAAACCCAGGATTCAAACCCAGGCAGTGTGACTCCAGAGGCTACACTCAAACCTCATGCTATACTAGTTATCTCTCATGGGGTATTTTGCCCTTAGCACCTGGCTTCTTGCCCTGGCAGAGAAAAGGAACCCTAATTGTAGACCCTAACTGTGCCAACCCCAGTATCTCATCTAGCCAGCTGCTTCTGTCCAGCAGGCTTCATGGGTGCTAGGTGAAGAGAGATTATCACCATTAATCATGAAACTGACGATGGCATGACATCAAGGTCAAGGCTCTGAGGAATGCTTTGAACATAAGACGAGTCATGGTCTCATGCTGGTTGGTTGGCTGTTTCCACCTGCTGATATATATATATATATATATATATATATATATATATATCCACTGAAGTGAGAAGAACTAAGAGGATTTCATAGGAAAGGTGCAATCCAGAAGCAGAAGCAAAAGTTAGCATTCCTTGAAGTTCCCCGAAACACATGGAGAACAGCATCCCAGACCTTTTGGGAAGCTATGCAACCTATGAACATGCTTAGAAATACAGATGCATGGGGACAGGAAATGACGCTTCATCTCCCCACAAACCCTCCTGCTGTCTCTAAAAGACAAGCATGGAAATGCTCAGGTGAAAGCTGTCCTCAAATAAATGAGCCTACAGGGAAAATAGTTTACCAAGTACAAAGGCTAACTCTGTAAGAAAGTAAGATGCCCAAGACACTAGGAGAAGCCAAGTGTGTCAGGGCTCATTCCCCCGGGGCCTGTAGGGAATAAAGCCAGGCAGCACTGGTTCCCATCTGCAATTTCTACAATGAAGAGCAGTCTCCCAAAACTTAGCCCAACAGATAAAGCTGCTAACATTACCAGCTCCAAGTAATTCCTGCACCTGCAACTGTGCCTTACTCATCAGGCACAATGATGTTTGTTCTAACTTCCATCAGGAAGCCAGTGTGCAAACATCCCAGGAGACAAAGATTCAGTTTAAGAAAGCAGTAAGAAACTTCTGGGCTACACCAGCAGTCTAGCCCCAAGAACAGACATTTCACTAAGTCTACTTGTTTTAGACAGGACATTCCACCCTGGAGACTTTGTATTAAATTTCCGTGTCAAATAATTATTTATCACTCCCACCAAGCAGCAGAGTCCAGGATTATAACTATATTCCCAAGATAAATGCTGAGAGAGAGAGCAGTCCCTCCTCTTTGCCAGAACTCACAACATTTCTTCTCTGACATTCGAAGATTTGGGGGTTTGCTTTCATAGCTGTTTTTATTCTGTTCTGAGGAAGATGTCCCAGACATGGCAGCTCTTCAGATGTCTGAAAGAGAGAAGTAGAATGTAAAAAAAGGGAAAGGGAAGAAAGAAGACATAACTCAAAAAACTCAGTGCATTGGATTCGCGTGGTATAAGTAAAAGCACCCTGGGCCAAGAGTCAAGTTCAGTCCTGTTAATCCCAGTTAACAGCTACTTCTCTAGCTCTGTTTCCTCACCTATAAAAAGAATTGCACTAGAAACTTACATTTGTATGCTGACTGACAAGTCTACATTTACAGACATTATCTTCTTCAGTCCTTCCAGTAATCTTGTAATTAGGCAGATTTTGCTACCATTATTTCTTCTCCTCATTTTACAGATTGAAAATTTGAGAGTCATCGAATTAAGTGGCATGTTCAAGTTCTTTCAGGGCCTCAGATTCTAGTTTTAAGAATCTGGGCAGAGTAGCAGCAGCAGTTGGGGTGGGGTGGGTTATAAATAGACCAAGTTCATTACCAAGAAAGTAACTCCAATCTAACCTTAGGTCTCAGTTTTGAAAAAAGTGAGGCCGGGTGCTGTGGCTCACACCTGTAATCCCAGAACTCTGGGAGGACGAAGTGGGCAGATCACGAGGTCAAGAGATCGAGACCACCCTGGCCAACATGGTGAAACCCCTGACTCTACTAAAAATACAAAAATTATCGGCGTGGTCTTGCGTGCCTGCAATCCCAGCTACTTGGGAAGCTGAGGCAGGAGAATCGCTTGAACCAGGGAGGCAGAGGTCGCAGTGAGCAGAGATCGCACCACTGCACTCCAGCCTGGCGACAGAGAGAGACAGACTCCGTCTCAAAGAAAAAAGAAAAGAGTGAGAGACGTGGGAAAATCTCGAACATATTCCCTGAAGGAAAAACAGTAACTGAACCCCAAGACAGCCTTAGCACGTCGTTATTTCTACTCTGGTGCATTCTCACGCCATGCTCCGCACTCTCTCCCCAGTTACCCTCGGGACTCAGTCTAAAGAACACCGGAGAGCTGAGGTGGTAAATGACTTCCCCAAGGTCACCTCAGAAAGAGGGGTAAGCCCTGATTCGAATTGGAATGGGAAACCCCTGAGCTCATGCCCCAAACTCAGACAGGAGGGGGCTGGTGAGGACGGAAGGTCCTGCGGCTTCAAGAGCCCTACATGATTCCAACGCTGACCACACAAATCCTCCAACCCAAACACCCGCTGTAGCTGCCGGTCCCAGAACGTCCGCGCTCCCTGCAGTGCCCGGGGACCAGCACCTCGCCCCGCACTTCATCCAGGGGCACGCAGCCCCCTCATCCAGCCCGCTAGACCCTACCCGGCGCTGCGCAGCTGTGGCTCACCCTACGATCTCTCCTATGATCCCTCCCTGCCTTGGCCCCGGCGCCTCCCCAGTAACGCAACCGAACCGACAGCTGGTGGCCGGGGCGGGCGCTCCAGTTGCCGGCAAATCACGTGAGCCCGTCTGGCCCCACCCCTTCGAGCCTAGGTCCTCACCTGGAGAGAATCATCCACCAATCGGGGGCCTGGAGGGCCCGGGGGCGGGGCCAGGTCACAATTGCCTACGAGGGCTCCGGAAGGCGGGTGGAAGTGGGAACCCGAGAGATCACCAGCTCCCGAGTTTCCCAGCGCCGTGGAGCCTGGTGGCATCGTTGCTTAGTAACTAATAGGGCTGGGGGCGGGGTTAATAAAAAGCCCGGCTTTTTTTCTGACTCTCGCGAGAGTGAACTATTCAGTAGGCGCCTTGAGAGGGAGTGTGTACTTTGGATGATGAGAAAGTGTTGCAAGAATTAACGCTCTCATTCCTGAATCCCAGCACAACCTCGTTAGATCCCTAAATGGGAACGTAGGCTTATGAAGATGTTTTTTCTAGAATAAACTACCACAACACTTGAGCTGATTATACCTTAGGGTGTTTACATATCCCTCTCCACAGGTCAGAAGCTGTACCCTAAGAAAATCAACTACTCTCATCTTTGAACCAGAAGCTTCCCTGGACCCACCCATACACCCCAGTGGGCTTCTAACCATTCCTACTTTCCCTCCTACCTGCCCCCAACCCAGGCTGTATCATCTGTGGTGATCGTCTTGAAGAACCAAGGAGGAAAATTGCACCAGAAAAAAAAATTGAGTCATTAAAGGTGTGAAAAGATTACATATAATTTATTCAGAAGCTAAGTGTTTTACAGGAGATGAGTTTGCACCTTCCACGTGAACTACACTTTTCATAGTTGCCCCAGCGGGCCCGTCTGATGCTTGATAAACCCACTCTAGGCAGGTGGGACTTGCTGTCTGGATCCCGGCTGTATAAAGAACAATGAGTATGGATTTCTTGAAAAAGACAAATATAAATTCACGGATGTCTTTATTCCTCCTTCGCCTAGGAATTAAATTCATTCTTCCTAAAGTTCAAATAGTTATCGCCTCTTTGAGGCTTTTACAACTCCCAGAGCGCTCTAGTAGCCCTCTCTGTGTTACAACTCTGTCTTTATTCATTCGCAAGTATTTGTTGAACACTTTTTATTTACGAGGCAAAGTCCTGGGTTCTAGGCATACATGGTTGAAAAGGTACACGTAATCTAGCATTGTCACGTTGCTTTGAAATTCAGTGGCTGTGTGTCTCACACTCCACCCTCTCGCTCAGTCGCAATGAATACTTGTTACACTGAAGGCAGGAATGAAGTCTTCATATTTCTATGCCCAGGAACTGAACTGGAATCTGATGACACTTGTTTCACGACTCCTCCTTACACTGCCACCACCTGAATAAGGCAACTGCCCTGTGCCCAGATGCTGACTGTGCTTTCTGATGTAGCAAATAGACGTTTTCAAGCACAGTCTCGGGAGGTGGAAAGGTCAGTCCTTTGGCCCCTGAAACTCCAATGAGTCAATGTTTAATGCAGCCACGAGTCTAGTCACAAGTAGGATTGTTTTTGACTGGTCCTTTGACTCACCGACCATTCCTGGCATTCATTTGCGTTGTGAGCTATGATTCTGTTTCTCCTGGTGTAGTCTGGGTATAGTGTGGAAGCCCCGATTTAATAATTTCCGACCTCATTAAGTGCCAGGTCACATTCCAATCTCCACGGCTTCATTCAGGAACTCCTTCCCCCGCCCTCTTCTTTGAGCATATATGCTACCTCACTCGCTCTACAGGTAGCAAGACCCGTTGTCCTTTAGGAATACGGAGGTTTACATCTTCGTTCTGAGGGTGGGGAAAAAAAATTGTTATCACTTTAAAAGTGTTCGCGCTTGCTAAGGTGCTAAGGCAGAAGCAGAGCTCGAAGCGTCGCGAGAACTGGAACCACGCGCAACTTCTCGCGATGTTTGGCCCCGCTAAAGGTCGCCATTTTGGAGTCCACCCGGCTCCTGGTTGTCCCGGCGGCGACTCTCAACCTGCTGCCGGGACCAAAGCTGGCCCCGAGGGTGTCTGGCCTGTGGGCAGCCGGACCGACACGATGTGGCGGCTCCGCTGCAAGGCCAAGGACGGCACCCATGTTTTGCAGGGGCTGTCCAGCCGGACCAGGGTGTGGGAACTCCAGGGCCAAATTGCCGCCATCACCGGGATCGCCCCCGGCGGTCAGCGAATCCTCGTCGGATACCCTCCCGAGTGCCTGGATCTCAGCAATGGGGATACCATTCTGGAGGACTTGCCCATCCAATCTGGTAAGGAATCAGGGCTGGGGCCAGTAAAGTCTCGGGAGGACGGAGAGGGGCGTGAGAGAGAATAGAAAGCTAGTTACGGTGGCTGTGGGTCAACTGGGGCTTTGAGACCAGGGGTGAGGATAGATCAAAGAACAGAGAACTCTGACGCAAGCCGGGGCAAGTGTCTAGCAACTCCTGGTCTTTACACAGGCTTGAAAAGCAACCCACAGCCTTGAAGTCCCCCTTACCCAATCCGCTTTCTGGTCGGCTTTGAAACTATCTGATTTTGTTTTCCCTCGGCGTTCACAAAAATAAAAAGAAGTAGGGCCTCTTTTCTCTGTCCTTATTTATGTCTCTTTTTCCCTATATCATCGATCAGGTCTTAAGGGTGCAGGATTTTTTTTTTTTCTTGGTTCATTTTTGCGGTCGCCTTCATAGATACTTCGTTTGATAGGCATATTCATTTTAGAGTTAGCTTTTAGACACCCACTGAAAGCCCTTTCAAGTTCTAACCAGGAGCAGTTTATTTCTGTGCCATATTAAAACTTGAACATCAGTGTTGATAATTAAAAGCTTCCAGTTGTATCAAGGACGCTGTAAACACTCGATAGAGTAGATAATTTTCCGGAGAAGGAGAACCCCCTAGCGGCCTACTTTGTAGTGAGCACCTTCTGTAAGATACTGTATAAGGAAATGAAATTTTGTTTTTGAATATATCTTTTTAAGTAAGCCTCAAGTTGTATACTCTAGACCCCTTGACTAAATTGGGGTGCAATCTGAAGTGTTTTTTGTTCTTTGTTCTTTTTTCATCTTTATGAAAATTCAGTGAATAAAAATTGTTACTGGTCACTTATTTGCAAAGCTGTATTCTTCTTAGTAACCCCAGTTTATGCTTTAACTCCTTCAGTTTGTAATTTACAGACGTGGCTAGTGAACACTTCAGTTTCTTCTGTAATTTCTCTGCAGTTCTGAATTCTTTTTTTTTTTTTAACAGGTGACATGCTGATCGTTGAAGAAGACCAAACCAGGCCCAAAAGTTCACCTTCACTTACTAAACATGGTGCTTCTAGTTACGTCAGGGAAACTTTGCCTGTGCTTGCCAGAACCGTGGTCCCAGCAGACAACTCTTGCCTCTTTACCAGTGTGTACTATGTCGTTGAAGGAGGAGTCTTGAATCCAGCTTGTGCTCCTGAGATGAGACGCCTCATAGCACAAATTGTAGCAAGTGATCCAGACTTCTATAGTGAGGCAATACTGGGAAAAACAAATCAAGAGTACTGTGACTGGATCAAAAGGGATGACACTTGGGGAGGAGCAATAGAGATATCGATTTTGTCCAAGTTTTACCAATGTGAAATATGTGTAGTGGATACACAGACAGTAAGAATTGATCGTTTTGGGGAAGATGCAGGATATACCAAAAGGGTTCTGCTTATTTATGACGGCATCCACTATGATCCACTTCAGCGGAACTTCCCCGATCCAGACACACCTCCTCTGACCATTTTCTCCTCTAATGATGATATCGTTCTCGTACAAGCACTGGAACTAGCAGATGAAGCTAGGAAAAGGAGACAGTTTACTGATGTCAACCGCTTCACCCTGAGATGCATGGTATGTCAGAAAGGATTAACTGGACAAGCAGAAGCAAGGGAACATGCCAAGGAGACAGGCCATACCAACTTTGGAGAAGTGTGATCTCTGCATGAATGAGGGTTGAAGCCTACTACCTCACAGATCCAGAAGGCTCTGGGTTTTCCAATAAGCTATTGTAACCCTAAAGAACAAAAGGACACAATGCTTGAACCATCCTTTTAACTTAAAACCACTAAGACACTGAAATTCCTTGTTAAGATTAAAATTAGTGTGCAAGTTTACAGATGTGTGTCTACAATGGTAGACTGTACATACATGCCTCTTTCTGCTGGAGTGACAGAGGTGATCCTTGCCACCTACTGACACTGACCTGAAGATTGAGATTTAGTATTATAAACTAGCACCCAGCAGCTTTAACTTTTAGAAGAAAACATCACATTCTGGGTAATGTGGAAGGCCTGTGAGGCCACTGGACATTTACCAGTGTCTCCAGTAACTGAGTCGTTTTAAAAACTGAATGAGTTAAGTTTCTAAATTATGAATTGATTCATCAAATGAAGATACTCAGAATTGTCCAAACTGATTTTATATTGCAATTTGGTAGACTTTATAAATGTGTGCTTAACCACTGATAAGTACATCACAAGCAATTTTTACAGGGATGAGTTTCCCTTGAGAATGTTATCACAAAACAGGAACTGATTGTGCCCTGTTTAAGATATCTAGTGTATAAAAAGTAGAATGTATGAGGGAAAAGGTGCCTGAGCAGCTTACTGAAGCTTTAAAAAGACCGTTGGCCTCGTGTTTTAACGCAATTCTTGTATTGGTTGTCACATTGGATAACATTTTGAAGTTAAGCAGGGTATTTTTTTAATTGAAATTCCTTGAAATTTGAGTGCTCAGTTTTCCCTTCATTTGCATAAAGATTTGTCTGGAGGGATTTAGTTTTCTCAGCCTTGTGTTAAGAGCACTTTATCCAAATTTTTTTTTTTTCAACTAAAGTAATAATGCTCTGCTTTGGGTTGGTTTTTGTAAGATTTTTTTTGCATACCTACACAGTGTTTGCTTTTGTGCTGGCCTTATCCCTCCACTAATGTGATTTTAAAGAATTCCACATTTCTGCAAATTAGCACTTTGCTTATCTGCAATCTTTTACTTTGATTTTTGAAGTAATTGGAGTAATGCTGTTGAATGAATTTGTTTCACTTCCAAAATAGGAATATGTTTAAATCCTTGCCTTATGCAGCTTTCTCGGAATTCTGCTTCTTCCTAATACTAGATGTGTAGCCATTTGCTTGGTGGACTAATCCGCAAGGCACACCCTCTAAAACTTAGCTTCACTACAAGATCTTCCAGATAAAGTTTTCTACCTCTTTTCTTAATTATTCTGATCAGGGATGCTAAATTATCATATGTTATGTATTATCTCACATAATGTGAAGAGGCTTAATGTTGTGAAGTTTGATTGTTTTGGTCTTATTTTTTATTAAGTATCTCAGAGTATCAATGGTATACTTTAAAGCACTTAGTTCTTTTTCAGCCTATCTTCCTGGCAGATGTTTTAAAATTGACCTTTACTTTTAGCACTTCACTTGGTGAAGGTGGCCATATAAAATTAAGGAACGTTTGAGCAATATAGGAAAAAAGTACTTTTAAGGAACAATTCACAAAATATGTTTGAAATCATCAGATGACATTTCTTGAATATCTTTTGTGTGCATAGTTATTTTAGACAGTATAAGCTATTATGGTTAGTATAACTTAACAGTGTTTAGTTTTCTATTTTACTGAGCCTTAAAAATAGCACTTGTGAGCTTACAATACTTAATGTTTGGCAATCATGTTCAAATTAATAGGATTGAAAATATCTGGTCTGGATGGTTTTGGTTTTGCATCTTTCTTATTTCTCCCAGAAAATATTAAATTTAAAACTGTAAATTAAGACTATACCACTAGACAGCAACCATCAGTTTGAGCTTTATGCATCATTACTCATAAATCTTGCCTTCCATTGCTACTTTAGGAGACAAATTTGACATTTGCTTAATGCAGCTTTAGATCTACAAGTTTATTCATGCAACAAATATTTATTGAGTAATTTATACTGTGCCAGGCATGTTTTGATATGTTTGTGTCCTATGTTTTGATATGTTCCAACATAAATTTCTGTCACTTTAAAATTCAGTATATATCGTCTATGGTGGGTAAATTTAACAAATGAAAAGGAATAGAACACTGATATTTTACAGAATTAAACCCATTCATTGTAAGTGCTTTGTTTACATATTAAGTGTCAAGTATTTATTCAGGAGCTCTTATTTCATTCTGTTTTATCTGTTATCGAGGTTGTCCATTTACCAGTTGGACACGGATACTAAGTCAAATTCCTTTTAAAAATTACTCTAATCATCTGCTGAAATTCAGCACTCGTACTTTAGTGTTATGATCATGGAAAAATTCAAGATGAAGGTTTATTTACAGGCCATGTGACTGAATTATTGAGGATTAAAAACCTAAACCTTTGCTCATTCTAAACTCAAGCTTGTAAGCCCCAGAATTTGCATGATTTTTTTAAAACTGTGCTTATTAAACTCTTGAAATTTATTAATGGGAGTAAATTCTCATCTTGGGAATTTTGAAAATCTATGGATTTAAAACTTTCAGGAGGATTAAATGTCTTAAGTTTTGTACTAGAGCAGAATGAAATTCTTCTTCCTATTCATTCAGTGTTTGCCTGCCATACAGGATTTTTTTTTTTTTTTTTTAATGAGGACAGTTTACATTAGTGACAAAGTGAATAAAGACCTAACTTTCTCACTCCACCTTTCTGTTAATTCTTCTTTGGATTAAAGGTCAGGTGTAGTGCTTTGAAGATTCACTCCTGTATGAAGTGATTTCAGAAGTTAAAATTAGTATCTCTGGAAATTTTGCAATGTGTTAGCCAAGTGAAGACATTAGTGTGTTACTTCTTTTGCTAATGGATCATGGTTGATTTCTTAATTGTTTTCCATGAAATTAGCATAGTCAAGTGATGCCCTGGAAGCTTGACTGCTGGTCAGTTTGACCCTGTTATTAACAACTAATGTAGTCATGCCACTTGATTATTCCATGAAGTTCCAGTAAAATAATAATCAGGAATTAACATTATGTTATCTACCTATCTTATTTGTCTGTGTCCCTAAATGCCCATGTATCACTTACTTCTCTAGTTTATTCCTTTGTAGGAATTAAAATGTGAGTGTTGCAAGTTGCCCTAGCTAAACATGGTTTTCTTATGTCTTTTTGGAAAAAAAAATTGGAATGGGAAGTATGCAAGATTAAGCAACAGAGCAATTTTTTTTATGACAAATCAGGTGGCCTTCCTAAACATGTTAAGAATTATGTTCTTTCATGTGTCAAGATACATTTATTTTGTTTGCAGCACTTTAAAAAAAAGGTGAAATAAAAGTTTACGTGTTGGCCCTCTAGGGATCTAATTAAGGACATTAAAGTACGATTCTTGAGCTACTAACCATCAGCTCTTCTTAATCAAAGATTGCCATCAGTGTATAGTGTATCTAATGGACGACATTCTGGTGTTTTGGTAACAGTAAAACTCAATTTCAGTAACTATTAGGAGCACAGTCTGTGCCCTAGTATTAAAAATGTTACTTATTATAATGTGAATATCTTGTATTATTCATTGTACAATGCAGTATTCAAATTTGTCCTTGTAGTGCAATGATGACTGATAATTTCTAAAAGATTAGGTCCTTAAAACTTGTTTGTTTCCTAGCAGACTTATTTTAAGGAAGCTGATTTTTGAGTCAGAGGCCTTAAAAGTGTCATATACAAGTGACATCATTTTAAGTCCAAAGTGAAACGCTTGGTTTGAATAAGCTAGTTTATTAAATAAGATGTTTTCTTATGAAGTGTTATAATTTATATGTCAGCACATTTTATTCAACTTAAAAATATAAAATGTTTCTGGTTGCGAGAGAGTGTTTATTTTTCTCAGAATTAGGTAGCATTTTGCTTACAGTCCTTTGAATATTTGACTTAGAATTATTGATGTTGAATTGTAGGGTGCTGATTTAAGTCCTGATTCATACACATTTAAAGGAGGTTGGTAAGCCCCTCATGGTATTTTAGAGTGAAGGGAGGAAAGGGCCAAGAGGATAAGGTAGCACTGAAAATGAAGAGATTGTCAAATCAGATGCATTCCTAGTCACAAAAGATGCTTTTGCAAACATTTTTAAAGCAATGCCTTTGTGTCACCTCAACCCTTCCCCATTTCTTGGCATAGAATGTAGCATGGCCATAGGTGAAAAAGCTTGTCATCAAAGTGTGAAATCATTAATTATAAGCATTTTGCCATGATGCCCTTTTATACTTACATTTTAAAAAGTACTAACCAAGTTTAGGAATAGTGAGAATATAATTTGATTAAGTTGTAGGTAAACAGAAAGGATAATCTTAGGCTCAGAATTTCTGCCATACATGAGACTCACTATAAACTGGTATAGGCTATGTAGCATAGCCCATAAGTTACTTAAAGGACCAGGGGACCTAATTTTGTCAGTTTTCCAGTCACGTTGGTGCCATTCAGGACTCAAGCTGTTTACAGGAAATATGTACTTAGCAAAGTAGTATTTTTCCTTGAAAAAATTTGAATTCGGCTTAAATACAGAATAAATATGGATAGCTTGTGAAAAGGATTAGAGAATAATATTCCTGTAGTTTCTGTATTACTGCAGTAGAGACAGAGGTTCCTGATGCAAAAAGAAAACCACAAGTGAAGACTGCCAAATCAGAGCTTTAGAATATGACTTGAAAAATTAGTAGGGATGAGCAAAACAGCATTAAAAATACTTTTCTTATTGAAGATGGACAGTGCTTTCTTGTTTTAAAATGTTTTGCCTATTTGCCAGCATTTTTTAACGTTAATGCACTGCTGCTACCTGGAAGATGTCTAATTTCATTTTCTACAACTCTTATGTGATTTTGCCATTGTCATTAAGATGCATTGATTTTATTTATGAGATGTATGATTTTAAATATATAAATGCTGTATTAAATGACTTGTTTCAAAAGAATAAATGAAGTGAAAACATTGTTTGAGTATATTTTGGGATCAGGGCAGAGGGCCAGTGAACAGCCATTTTACTTAAGTTGCATATTTATTATCAAAAGCTAATAGACTGCATCTTTGACTAAGGTACCAAAATCTACCAAATATCACCCTTTAGGCGGACTCAAAGAATGAGATAGGAGAAACTAAGGTGCTTCTACTTAACACCGAAAGGATTCAGAATGCCCATTCATTGACTAAATTTTTTTTCTAAATCAAATCCTGCAAGTCGTAATTCAATATTTGTTGCTGACAAATTGTCAATGTGGAAAGGCTTAATATTTCTTTTTTAATAGACTGCAGTCTTTGTGAACTTAGATCTATTTGAAAACAGCAACATCGCTGTGGGAGAATATATTTCATCTTCGGCAGTGTCAACATTTAAACATGTATTTGAAGCAACACTGGGGCTATTAGAATTGGCCAGAGTTCAGGTCCCCTAACTAAACTGAACTACTTACCCATTCTTTCTCATTGAAAGCTTACAAATTATAGAGGTGGAACTGTAATATCAATTCATACAGCAGCATAAAATATATCTCTGGGGGTCACCATACATCCAACACAAGAATAAGCCAAGCCAAACCTCACATCACAAGGTTCTGAGTTGTGTGATGGTAGCTTATTGAATAATTAATTGTGCCCGTAAAGCAATGCTTCTCAAAGTCATCACATTACCTGGGAACCTGTTAGAAATGCAAATATTCAGAAGGAAGTCAGAAATTGATGAGACCCAACAATCAATAAGCCCACCAGGTGATTCTAATGCATGCTCAAAAAAAAGCTTGGGAATCGTGACCATCACCATGGTTATTTAAATGAACCATTGATCAACTTGGGAGAGATCTCTGAGGGTTTATACCAGTTTTGTGTCCTTAGCTTCACATGCAATTCACTGTCATTCACTACTTAACAATAGTTATTAAATTTATAGATAATGTAAATCCAGAGAAGACTGGTAGAACAATGAATGACAATTCAAAAATCTCAACAAGCTGAAAAACCCTAACATTGAATATTCCTAAATGTGAAGTCCTGGGCTTGAATTCTAAATCCATTATGTGAGTCCAGCATGGGGAAAACCTGGCTTAAGTTGATTTGACAAAAGATATAGTAATGACACTTAGTTCTAATTCTGATCCCAATAAAGTACTATGGCTTAGGCTGCAAAAATAGCAGCATCTTAATACTTGAAAGAGCAGAAAAAAAGGAAGCAGTAGTCTTAATGTTGGTCATGTCGCATTGGAGGTTTGGATGTGGGTTTTGCATGTAAAATGTGGTGAAAAACAGGTTTGATGGCCATCGTGGAGGCTGAAGAAATGAGGAAAAAACCAGATTGACATGATAGCTAACTTCAAAGTTTGGGAAATGTATAAATGATAAATTAGATTTATTCTCTGAGGCCCTAGAGGAAATAACTCAGATTAAAAAAAGATGAATATAGTTTCAAAGTAAAATTACATTAAAAGCCTAACAAGAATGAAAAGGGATACTATCATATTTTAAGAAAATGAGTAATGGAGGTATTCTTTTGCATTATGAGAAATAGTGATAGAAGTCATTAGGTCCCTGCCATCTTAAAAAAAAAAATCTGTCTTACAGATGCTGGAGAGGATGTGGAGAAATAGGAATGCTTTTACATTGTTGGTGGGAGTGTAAATTAGTTCAACCATTGTGGAAGACAGGGTGGCAATTCCTCAAGGATCTAAAACCAGAAATACCATTTGATCCAGCAATCTCATTACTGGGTATATACCCAAAGGATTAGAAATCATTCTACTATAAAGACACATGCACATGTATGTTTATTGCAGCACTGTTTGCAATAGCAAAGACCTGGAACCAACCCAAATGCCCATCAATGTTAGCTTGGATAAAGAAAATGTGGCACACATACACCATGGAATACTGTGAAGCCATAAAGAGTGAGTTCATGTTCTTTGCAGGGACATGGCTGAAACTGGAAACCATCATTCTCAGCAAACTAACACAGAAACAGAAAACCAAACATCGCATGTTCTCATAAGTGGGAGTTGAACAATGAGAACATATGGGCACAGGGAGGGGAACATCACACACTGGGGCCTGTCCGGGGCTGTGGGGTGTGGGGAAGGATAGTATTTGGATAAATACCTAATGTAGATAACGGGTTGATGGATGCAGCAAACCACCATGACACATGTATACCTATTTAACAAACCTGCACATTCTGCAGATTTATCCCAGAACTTAAAGTATAATTTAAAAAGTTTTAAATGCTAGTTATATAACCACAAAAAGAAAAATGTAGTTTTTCTGTCCTCTTTTCCATCCCATTAAAGCTTGAAAAAAGAGTGGCTTGGGCTCTTAGTTATGCGGCAAAGGCTGCAAAGCAGTACTTACATATTTGGCAAAGTGTATACTTATTGCATGGGTAAGTATCTATGCTTATCTTACATCTCTATGCCTGAATGAGACATTCAAGAATGGAAAAGCAGGCATTTCAAATATATTTTCTATTTTGTTCTGACTTGGATTGTCTTTGTCTCTTTTGTTTATAAATCTTGAGGATATTTACCAGATGAAAACAAGGCACAAATGTATTTCCCTAAACTCATTGAAACTTTAATGACTTCCTCACTTGTGTTTTAAAATTCCAGAATTTCTAAGAAATTATCAATAGCTCTCAGAGAATGAATAGTCTCCTCTTTCTTTTCTTTACTAGCTGCCACTCTTTTAACTTCTCTGCCCTCTTGACCTTCTAGAATTCCTTTCATACACAAATCAGAGTTTTCTGATCTGACTCCCATGGCATTTCTCTGTATCCAATCGGAGGACTTCATTAGTGAATCTTAAGGTATTGGACCACGTGTCATAATTACTTGGCCATGTTCCAAAACCCTAAAGATGGTTCTCTTGAATCATTGCAGTAAGCTAAAAAACTATTAATCTGGAGTTGTTTGGAGTTGCTGCTGACTCAGGAGTCAGGTTTGAAATCAATACCAAAGTTAAGTAGAAAACATAGACAAAATTATTCCTGATAACCCTTACCTCTCTCACAGAGTGTACAGACATCACCATAACTTTGTAAGCCCACACCAGTGATGGAAGAATTCATGCTCACTCCTGTGGTGCCTGCCACTCTCTGAGGTCTCAACCTGCAGTGAGTGTGGTTCACTAGAGCACATCCATTGGTGGACCCTGGACTCCAATCCCCATGCCTCTTGTTCTGTTAAGCTGTCAGAAACACCACTCGGCCTCTCAGCATCTCAGCCACCCATTCTGGAAAATGATGTCTCCAGAGGAAAAGTGGCTGGCCTCAAATGTTGGACACAACACACCAGACCTCTGTCCTCACCTTGATCCAGGCCTGTGTTGTTAGTGCCTACCAAATTCTTCAATATCTTTTTGGCTCTCCACTGCAAACAGCAGGAGAGTTTGTCTGAATTACCTTGTCCGGCATTCCTGGAAGTGGAAGTCCGTAGCAGCTCATTTCCTATGATAATCAAGAAACCACTACCATAAAAATTTTTTTTAAAGAGGTACTCTTGGAAATATCAGGTATGAAATAAACTAGGTAATAATGCTTCTGTCAACAATGGAGGGAAGAAGGGGTTGGTAAGAATTTGTCAGGGCTTATTTAGAACTGTCCAGTAGGAAAAGGCACTTTATCAAGTAACCATGAATATTTTTCTAACACAGTTCATTTCCATACTGTTGGATATTTACATTGAATGAAATAGAAATATCATTTCTTATGGAATAAGAATTAATTTCTAGAGCCTATTATGTAGGAAATTTCACAAAATTACTCTAATTATGGACAAAATTCTACAGTTACTAGAATTCCAAACTTTCTTCACTGTGACTTAACTGTTTTGTATTGGGGTTGATTAATCTTTCTCTAAGGAATTGTATTGAATTGAATTACTTCTCCCAGAGCTTTAATATTATGGAGTTAATTGATCAAATTGAGTTTTTCAACCTACAAAACTAAGGAGCAGATTTTGCATTACGTTGACATACTGCCAAAGTTACCCTCTCTTTAGTACATCCTTTCACATCCAAAGATCTAGCCTTGTTTTTCTTACTCTTACAACAAAGACCAAGAGAATGATCTTGAATTTGACTAGAAAAAGCTAAGGTAATAATTTATCTCTGAAGATTCTTAAATGGTTTAACAAATCCTTATTGAGCTTTTACTTATTGCAAAATATGGTGTCAAATACCTCAAGATTGCAACAACAATATTAATTCAGTTAATAAACATTTTTGAATGCTAATGCCATACCGGGAACTTCCCTAGGTGGTGGGTATACTTTGAAGGGGGGAAAAAAAAAAGTCCGGGTGCGGTGGCTCACGCCTGTAATCCCAGCACTTTGGGAGGCCGAGGCGGGTGGATCACGAGGTCAAGAGATCGAGACCATCCTGGTCAACATGGTGAAACCCCGTCTCTACTAAAAATACAAAAAATTAGCTGGGCACGGTGGCGCGTGCCTGTAATCCCAGCTACTCAGGAGGCTGAGGCAGGAGAATTGCCTGAACCCAGGAGGTGGAGGTTGCGGTGAGCCGAGATCGTGCCATTGCACTCCAGCCTGGGTAACAAGAGCAAAACTCCGTCTCAAACAAAACAAAACAAAACAAACAAACAACAAAAAAAAAACACAACACTTTGAAGAAATAAAAATACAAGTGCTATGAAATCCTTTTGTAGTTCATAAGTGTGATGATTGGGGTGTTGCCCTCATGTGTGAGATGTGATGACTGTCTCAAACCTTGTGATGATGTCAGCACATTACCTGTCTGATGTGAAAAATAAATACAGATGCTATGAAAAGAGTAACTGAATTAAAATTGTTGAATCTGAGAAACACTTTGAGAAGGTGACATCTGAAGCATGAATAAGAACTAATCAGTTGAAAAATAAAAATAGAGAGTATAGCATTTGCAAACACGATGTTGCAGGAGGAAATGAAATATTTTTCAGACTAGTCTGGTCATA